CCTCCCTGCTGATTCCCCAGCTCCCTTCAACTGGTCAGCCCGGGCCCTGTCCCCAAAATATTAGCACCCCAAAATGGAATCAATTTCTGCGTTAGATGTGTCAAATTTCACTTCTCTCCATGCCTAAACTTTGAAAGGAGGAGTGTTCCTTTTTGGAATGTGGTGTGTGTAGGGGGAGCAGGTATGTGTTCAGACAGCTTCCCCCATCATATCTATGGGAAACTGAAGCCCCTTAGGTGAGCCATACTTTAGTGTTCCCAAGCAGCATTCCCTGCATTCAGGTTCTCTGGCAGACCAGGAGGCTCTCTTTGCGATCTGATCCTTTGACTAGGAGTTCCATGGAGATCAAAGGAGCTTATTTATACGCAAAACACCAGGCATTTGGAGTATAATTTATTTTTAATTTCTAAATAAAAAAGTCTAATAATAGACCAATCGGGCCAACTAAGCAGTCGCTCTAGAACAGCAAAGCCTTAACCAAATAGTGTGATTGTGAGGGGAGCTGAGCAATTACTGAAACTCGGCTTTCTCCGTAACAGGGATTTTAACCCTCGTCCAGTGGCACAAAAGGGGCCGGCGGGGCAACCGCTCTTCTCGTGCTCAGAAAAGTGAGAATTGGGGGTGGTGGGGGCAGGGTCGGGCAGCTACGGTCGCGTCCAGGCAGCTGAGCACCCAGGCCAAGCGCTGAGGCGGAGCACTGAGTCCTGCGGCTCCAGTGCTTGGGTCCCTGAGCAGCCTCCGCAGGCACCGAGCTGTAGTTGCGGCGCAGCAGCCAGGAACGGAGTATGTGTATCTGTGTGGTGTGCGAGGGTGGGTGAGTCACAAACATCCGCGCAGAGTTGGGGGATCTGGGGAGAGAGAGGAAACAGAGAGAACACAACTCAGGAGGACCTCTGGAAAATATTGTCCCCTAATAAAAATTCCAGATCTCATCCCGTTCACTTCAAAATCCCTCCCCAAGAAATTAATATATTTCCCAGAGCTGAGTGGAACGCAAAAGTCAGCAAGGTGAGGCCTGCCCACGAACCTCTTCAGGCTGGGTCCAGTCCCACCCACCCTTTCCCCAGGTCAAAGCTCACAGGCCCCCAGGCTTTCCCTGGCCTAAAGCGGAGTAAGGCTGGAGTGGTAGCTTTTAACTTGCCTAGGGAAATTCCCAAGTGCCCAGGCTGCAATGCCACCCTTATCCTTGGGGACTCCAGGCCAGTGACTGCACCCCACTCAGGTCCAAGGCGCAGGCAGTAAATTTCTCTCCTATAATTAGCGCTATCAAAAGCATGTGTTTTGCACTGGGGAGGACTGGAGAAGCAAGTGGCAACTTTTCCCCTGTATTCTTTTTGTGTGTTTTTTGAATTCTGTTTTTGAATCCACTAATTAAAGCCTCTCTGAAAGTGAAAATCTGCTCTTGACACCAAGCCCCTTCCGAATGCCTGATTTGGGAGGCCAAGGGGCCAGAGCAGCAGCAAGGAGACCTGCAAGCCTGATGGGGTTGGCGGGGCGGGGGGTAGTGTTCTCTGATTTCTCTAGGCTCGTTTTATAGAAACAAAGAACAAGTTCTCTCCCCTCCTTCCCAAGACTTGTGCATATTTACAGAGCACAACTGCAGTTTTAATAAAACATCTGTTCTTGCTTCTGCTGATGAGTTTCCGTAATTGTTTTCAGACAAATTTAACAGGAAAATATAAATATATTTAGAAAACTCTAAGTCCTAACTTTCCCCCTATAGACAGCCATTCTTTTGCCAAAAAAATAAAAAATAAAATTAACATGAAATGGGAAAAGGAAAATATAATCCAATGGAGGGAAGATCGGGCTCATCCGACCTGCTCTCCCCCCTTGGAGCGAATCCTTTCAGCAAATTTCAGCTACATAATTAAAGATCTAAGAGAAAGAAGAGGGCTTCTTTCCTCAGGAATGAAAGGTAATGGAGGGGAGTGTGTTGAAAATTAATTTTGCCAAAAGTCTTTAAGCAGTGGAGGAATTTATTTGTATTTCTGTTTCCCCTTCTCTCCCCCTTCCAGCATTTCTGCCTTTTTCACCCAGCAGCTGGTTTCTGTTCATTATAAATTGGCGAGACCTTTCAGTCTCTGCCCTCTGTTTAGGAACGTCATAAAACACTTAACTTTCCGGGGCTGAGGCTCACATTCTGCTTCTCAGGTCGCCAATCCCCCTGAGTCCACCGCCTTTAGGCCCCAATAGAGAATCTCCCCAACTTTGGGGCCCCTTTCCTCTCCAGACATGGTTGAGGAGGGGCTCAAGGAAACCTAGGCATCCTTGCTGAGGGCTGTAGTCCATGCTGCCCCAGAACCCCCTTCTTTCTTCCAAGGTCCTTCCCTCCCCCACCCAGACATAAAAGAGATTTTTAAATACATAGAAAATCAACACTCACTGAAAGTGAAACCTCATTAAGACATCCTATCTTCCATCATTCAATTTGTTGTACATTGCAACAATTTAATATCTTGAAGGAAATATCACTGACATGATTTATCCCTCTAGCAATCTCTCTCTGTCTGAAACTGGGGTGGGGGGGACGGAGTTGCTCTCTCTTCCGGCCTCTTCTACTTGTTACACCATTACCCTCAGGGCAGAAAGGAGGCTGGGAACTCTGAGAGAGGCTACTTGTGTCCAGGGGTGCACTGACTTGTTCCCTAGCTCAGCCCCCAGAGTACTCCTGCCTTGTTGTCTCTCCCCCACCTCTTGCCCTCCAGGGGGCCTAAAACCTCAGCCAGCTGTTAGAAACCTCTGCTCAGGCATGCCATCAATTCGAGGACAGCTGGATTACAGGGCAAAAAGCAACTCACATTGGTGTCTATGTTTGTGTACCTGCCAAGTCACCCCAAAACGAGATAACTCATCTAAAAAATTTTTTTCTTAATTTAAAAATCCTCCTCTACCCTTTCCCCTTCATTTCCTTGGTGAGAAGAAAGTGTGGTCTAGGAGGAGGAACCTTTATAATTATAGGAGTCTTTCCCCTTCCCTTCCAAATACCGACAAATTTCTGTCCTTTCTATGGGATTGGGGCTGTATTTTTAAAAACCAACACATACTGTCTGACAGGAAGACTCTTCAACCCCCTAACGAGGTTCATGTATTAACTAACGTGTTGTCTCCACCAGCTCCTGCACACTGTCTGCTTTTGGGTTCGAAACTTTATTTTTCCCTCCTAGCGACACTCCAGGGAAACCTTAACGTTACAGAAGGTGAATAAACGAGTTTTTTTCTCAGCATAGTCCCGTTTATGGCTTTATTGCTACCCATTGATTACTCCGCTTTGTTACACAGAAGGAAAAGATCATAAAATCCCGCGACATCCGGGTTCTTGTTATAACCAGTTTTTCCCCCCCAACCCACCCAAAAATGGTGGGGGTGGGGGAGAATATGAGCTTTCACTGCTCCCTGCACACTCCCCACTACCCCTCTTTGTCAACTCAAAGCATTTTCAGCCTATATCACGATATCAAATTAAGTTTGGACTAATCAGGAGAAAACCCCCATCTGCACACTTTCCGCTGTTTCAGTTCGCCTACTGCGGCTCTCTCAGAAGCCTCGGATTCAGCGGCCTTTTCGTAACCATCTCTTCCTTTTTTTTTTTTTTAGCCTCAAGATGGGGGAAAAAATGGGGGTTGAGGCTGCTGAGAGGCCCATCCCCACCAGGGGTGATGGCACTTGGGTGAGAGCCCCTTAGAACCCCTTTCTGAAGTCTCCAAGCCTCATAGCTCAGGTCCAGGGGCGCATCCACTGGCGGTGCCCTGAGTCTGGAGGGGGCAGGGGCTTCTGACCAAGGCAGGGGCTTGAGCTTGCAGGAAGCCAACTGTCCATCAGAGCCCCACCAGCCTTCTCTTTCTGGCTGGATCCTATGTGAATTACCCCACCGGCCCTCACTGGCTCCAAATCATAAATTCTCACCAACATAAACAGGAGTTGATGTCTCTAGAAAGATTCTCAGAGTTTTCGTTCTTCCTTTCTCTCTCTCTCTCTCTCTCTCTCTCTCTCTCTCTCTCTCTCTCTCTCTGTCTCTCCCCCTCTGGTGCCACCTCCCTACATTTTACTTCTTTTTTCTCCTTTTTCTATTGCATTTTTATACGTTTGCCCTTTTAGGCAGAAATGCTGGAAGAGTTTTCCCAAAAGAGGGGTCCTGAGGAGGAGGCAGAAGGGAACCCAGGAAGCAAAGGAGAGCAGATGCGTGGCCCGTTTGCCCACTTCAGCTCTGCCACTGTACCCTGAAGTTTTCCCCTTTAGACCTAGTTGTTCCCCACATCCCTCCTACATTCAAGACTCTCAGCCACACTCTACTTACTCAGGGGAACAGGTTTTATGAAATTTCTTTCTACTTTTGATTTTTTTTTAATTATTGGAGGAAAAAATACTAGTTTAGTGATGGGACTCACTTCATGGAGTGTCAAACCAGGATTTCCTGCAGGATTTCTGGGGACCCCCTCCTGTGCTGGGAGGGAGTTCCTCCTTCCTCCAATGGAGAAATCAGGATGTAATTTTACAAGGGGGCAGATATAAAAGATGAAACCAGATTGAAAATACAGGGATTTATCTAGCCCTGGCTCTGGCCACAGCACAGCAAAGTTAACTGGGGCTAAGAGATTTCCTGGGAGTACAGCTCTCCTTACCTAAGTCCCAAGGCCCTGCTCAGGGACGTGCACCCCTCTTTCACCACCAAACCAGTTCCCCTACATACGTATTTTTAAAAGAAATCCAAGTCTTACTTTCAAAGCACACACTTAGTCTCAACTAGGGAATCAACAGAAGCAGAAGCGATTTTTTTCCCCCTTCTTGACATCTGGCTTGCGATTGGCTGGGAGGGGGTCAGCTGACTTTGTCATTTTGTCTGTCCTGGATTGGAGCCGTCCCTATAACCATCTAGTTCCGAGTACAAACTGGAGACAGAAATAAATATTAAAGAAATCATAGCCCGACCAGGTAAAGGCAAAGGGATGAATTCCTACTTCACTAACCCTTCCTTATCCTGCCACCTCGCCGGGGGCCAGGACGTCCTCCCCAACGTCGCCCTCAATTCCACCGCCTATGATCCAGTGAGGCATTTCTCGACCTATGGAGCAGCCGTTGCCCAGAACCGGATCTACTCGACTCCCTTTTATTCGCCACAGGAGAATGTCGTGTTCAGTTCCAGCCGGGGGCCGTATGACTATGGATCTAATTCCTTTTACCAGGAGAAAGACATGCTCTCAAACTGCAGACAAAACACCTTAGGACATAACACACAGACCTCAATCGCTCAGGATTTTAGTTCTGAGCAGGGCAGGACTGCGCCCCAGGACCAGAAAGCCAGTATCCAGATTTACCCCTGGATGCAGCGAATGAATTCGCACAGTGGTGAGTTTTACAGCTCCGAGATATAAATTAAATAAACTGAACTGGCTTTATGACCGGCTTCCCTAGAAGAACGGGCGGAGAGAGTTTTTTATGGCCCCATAAAAACAATCACGCTCGTCTCCTTGCCGAGACAGGGCCCCCTCTTCTGCCCCCTCAGCTTGCCTCCCGCTCGCTTGCAGGGGCCTGGCCCCCTTGGCCCCTGACGGATTGGAGGTCTCCAAGACAAGCTGAGGGGGCAGGAACAGGGCAGGGGATGAAGGGAGGGAGCAGAAGATGGGGGAGCCCCCCAAAGCGGAATCAGTCTGAGGAGAAGGGAGGGGGAGAGGAGAGGCAGAGAAGTGGGGAGAAGTTTCCAAGAAACTAGGATACTTGGGGAGATGGTGGAGCCCAGTCCTTGAGAAAGGGGGCCCTCATCCCCATTATCTGGGATTTTTCAAAAATCAGCTTATAGACTTGCAGCTTTCCGTTTGCCTTTTGCCCCGCCCCCCCACCCACCCCACACACCTTTCTTTGGGACACACACGTCCCACCTATGGGAGGTCTGAACGAAGTTGGGGTCCTGGCTGTACCCCCAGTGGGGGTGGGGCAGGGCAAACGGGAAAAGGCTAGAGCCCTAATGGGCTGGCCAGGTTGGGAGGGTCAGGACTTTGCTAGGCGAAATAGTCTGCAGAGGACGCCTTGCTGATTGCTTTTAGTGTGTTTTGTGCCCGGATCTTTAGGGGTCGGCTACGGAGCGGACCGGAGGCGCGGTCGCCAGATCTACTCGCGGTACCAGACCCTGGAACTGGAGAAGGAATTTCACTTCAATCGCTACCTAACGCGGCGCCGGCGCATCGAGATCGCCAACGCGCTTTGCCTGACCGAGCGACAGATCAAAATCTGGTTCCAGAACCGCCGGATGAAATGGAAAAAAGAATCCAATCTCACGTCCACTCTCTCGGGGGGCGGCGGAGGGGCCACCGCCGACAGCCTGGGCGGAAAAGAGGAAAAGCGAGAAGAAACAGAAGAGGAGAAGCAGAAAGAGTGACTAGGACTGTCCCTGCCACCCCTCTCTCCCTTTCTCCCTCGCTCCCCCCCAACTCTCCCCTAATCACACACTCTGTATTTATCACTGGCACAATTGATGTGTTTTGATTCCCTAAAACAAAATTAGGGAGCCAAACGTGGACCTGAAAGTCAGCTCTGGACCCCCTCCCTCACCGCACAACTCTCTTTCACCACGAGCCTCCTCCTCCTCGCTCCCTTGCTAGCTCCTTCGCGGCTTGTCTGCAGGCCCCTTTCCCCGTCCAGGCCTTGGGGGCTCGGATCCTGAACTCAGACTCTACAGATAGCCCTCCAAGTGAGGACTTGGCTCCCCCAACTCCCTCGACGCCCCCACCCCCGCACCCCGTGCAGAGGGCCGGCACCCGGGCCTGGGGCCTCTGCTTCGGGCCTCAGGGCCCGGCTTCGCAGCCGGGGAGGGCCAGAGGCCCAAGGAGGGCGCGCCTTGGCTCCACACCAACCCCCAGGGCCTCCCCACAGTCCCTGCCCAGCCCCTCTGCCCCAGCAAATGCCCAGCCCAGCCAAATTGTATTTAAAGAATCCTGGGGGTCATTATGGCATTTTACAAACTGTGACCGTTTCTGTGTGAATATTTTTAGCTGTATTTGTGGTCTCTGTATTTATATTTATGTTTAGCACCGTCAGTGTTCCTATTCCATTTCAAAAAGGAAAAAAAAAAAAAGAGGGAAAATTACAAAAAGAGAGAAAAAAAGTGAATGACGTTTGTTTAGCCAGTAGGATAAAATAAATAAATAAATAAATCCCCTCGTGTTACCCTCCTGTATAAATCCAACCTCTGGGTCCGTTCTCGAATATTTAATAAAACTGATACTATTTTTAAAAGTTTATACCGGGAATTCTGTTAATTCGCTCGCCCGCCGGCCTCGGGATGAGAGCTGGAGCAGGCTCCAAGCGCTCCCGCGCCTGCCCGCCGCCTGCAAGCCCACAGCCCTCTGCACTCGCCATCCCCGGAGCCCAGGCGCCCGGCCCCGGCCTTCTGTTGGTTCTCGCGATCGCACTGAGGGCCTGGGAGGCCTCTCTGAGCTCCCTGCGCGGAGCAACACACACACCCTGCGGCAAAAAGGCCGCGTAGGATTTTGTTCCGGGGGGAGCCCGGATCAGTCGGCTTGGGCACCAACCCCACGCAGGCCTTTCTTCCTGTCTGTGGCAGCCGGGATCCTCGGCGTCCGAACCCCGAGGCGCCCCGAAAGACCAGTAAAGAAGCACTATCCAGGCACCAGGGTCTCCTCCGCCCACTCCCGGGAGTTGGAGGCGGGGGGCGCCGTGAGAGCAAGCCCCAGGCCCGCGCCAAGCCGGCTGTTGCGAAACGTGGCGGAGGCGGAGAGCGGAGGGAAAGAGAAGATCGCGGGACTGGAGCCCTGTCGGCAGGGATTGAGCGATTCAAGGACATCTTGAGAGAGAAAGCCTGGAAACTGAGCTCTCGCCGGTTCTGGGACTCCTGACGTGGCCGGGACAAAATTCCTTCTTCATTACAGCTCCAGCCGGGCTGGTTCCTTACTCTTCTCTCCTCAAACGGGTGAAGAGGCGGGTGAGGAGCGCAGCCGGACCCTAACCATTTATCAACCCTGGCCTTCTTTCTCCAAGCCTGACCAGAGAAACCTGAGTGGGCCTACGGGGAGAGGTGTTGAGGGGGGTCTCCGGAGGGGAAAATCCGCCAGAGTTTTCCAGGCCCTTCAGATTCCCTCCAGCACCCCCACCCTCGCCTCCAGCGCCTCCACCAGTGAGGAGGGGGTCTTCTGGCAGGGGCGGAGATTTCCTGGGAAGAAGCAGGCGGGAAAGTATGAGATTTGGGGCTACTGGGGAAGAGGATGGGGCCGAATGGCTGCAGATATCCTGCGAAGGCTACCCAGGCGCCTGCCCTGCCCACCTCCCAGTCCGCCCCATTCCTCTTGGTAGCTCAGAAATTGCTCTCCTGTGGATCTTATGGATTCAGGTCCATGGAAAGCCTGGCCCAGAGACCTTTTCTCCAAAGGTCACAAAACGGGCCTTTTCCTCTGCCATGCTCACGTAATATTTGTGGAGGCTTCAATCTTGCTTCTCCATGCCCTCAATTAACATCTATTTTCTGTCTAAAGCCTCTGGCATAGGTACCACATAAGGATCGCACACAGGGAGACTGAGCAGTCTTCTAGACCATTGTCTGCTCTGTCCGTGTCCACGCACACACTTGAAAATTGCCTTGTTGCCACTCTGGGGACCGTAGCATGGTGAGGTCTAGCCAACTCCACCTGGCTCCTCACCTCCAGATCCATCCCAGACAGCCCGGAGCACCCTCAGCTTCATGACCCCACTATCTTGTTCTGACCACTCAGGATCCCTCCTCCTGGGCGTCCTGTCTACCTCTCCAGAGGCTAATTCTACTTTCTCTTGCTGATAGGCACCTCTTCAGCAGTAGTGGGGCCTTAGGGCCTGCGAGGGACTTCTACCTTTGGTTTAGGGAACCTAAGTTAAACCCCTAAGGGTCTCCAGCCTGGACATGGGCCACCCTACCTAACTAAATCTCCTTTCTTCAGCCATTTTTGAAGATTGGAAGACCCTGGCGGTTGGGAGAACGGGGCTATTCATTACAAAAAGCATTCTGTGCATTATAGGTGGGGCCTCATCTTTTCCCAATTTTAAATAGAATTTAAAAGGCTAGCTCAGAGGTTGCTCCAACAACCAGCTTCTCCTTCACAGTATAGGAAATTCAGCTACCGGAAAGCAAGCTGGTGCTCCAGGATGCAATTCCCCCATATAGGCACCAGGTGTCGCTGTGGGCTTGTTGTCCCGGCTACCCCCAATTCCAAGAACCATTTTTTTTCCTCCCCCTTCCTTCTTTCTCACTCCCTCTCCCCCTTGGTTGGGCTTTGCCAACATATCGAGATGCGTTTCGCCGGCTTCCATCACTAACCTCCCGGAGGTCATCAAGCCAAATTTATGAGTGGCCGCTCGAGTCACGTGACTCTATTTAAGGCTCCCTTATTTGGGAAGAGCGCATAGGATAAAGAAAGAGATATCTCCACCTATAAATTGTGCACTTTGGAGAACAAAAAACCCCTCAACTTCAAAGAGTCACAAATCACCCTTAATCAAAAAGGGTGCAGAAATTTTTTGGGCCCTCCCCGCCATGAGCTCCTACGTAGCCAATTCATTCTATAAGCAGAGCCCCAATATCCCTGCCTATAACATGCAAACTTGTGGGAACTATGGATCGGCCTCAGAGGTGCAGGCATCCAGGTACTCCTACGGCGGATTGGACTTAAGCATCACTTTCCCACCGCCTGCGCCTTCCAACTCTCTCCACGGGGTAGACATGGCTGCCAACCCCCGGGCTCACCCCGACCGCCCCGCCTGCAGCGCCGCGGCCGCTCCGGGACACGCTCTGGGCAGAGACGAAGCGGCTCCTCTGAACCCCGGGATGTACAGTCAGAAGGCGGCTCGCCCGGCGCTGGAGGAGCGAGCTAAGAGCAGTGGGGAGATCAAAGAGGAGCAGGCGCAGACAGGGCAGCCCGCCGGACTGAGCCAGCCACCGGCCCCGCCACAGATTTACCCGTGGATGACCAAACTGCACATGAGCCACGGTAAACTTTAGGACTTCATTTTGCGCGCTCGGGTCCGCCTGGGTTTTATAGGCCATGCGGGGCAAATAAAGAAAAAAAACCTGCGGCCATAAATTTTACGATCCAGGCATCAATGGCTCGTAAAACTGTCCACTAAAAGGCTTAGAGGCTGTGTGCGCCCAAATTTACGACGACATAATTGGATCATAGGAACAAAACGTGTATAAAAGGCAATATTCAATTTTTGGGGGAGAGGGAGGGAGTTAAAAAAATAGAGGGATCTGTAGGGTGAGGAGCGCGGGGCTCCAGAGCGGGGATCCCCCCGCTGCTCCCTCCCTCCCTCCCCTGCGGAGCCGGCTCCGCCGGCGCTCGCGGCTCCGGAGGATTCCAGCGACTCGGGAGGGGCGGAAGGGGGGTCCCCGGTGCTCGGATCTCGAGGGTGCTTATTGTTCGGTCCGAGCCTGGGTCTCCCTCTTCCCCCCAACCCCCCCCTCAGCCCCTCCGGCTGCAGAGAGAAGGCTGCAGTGGAAAGTTTCCTGCCTGGGTGGAGGCGCCTCTCCCGGGGCTGGGCTGGGCCTGCGGCCCGCGGGGCCTGTCTTGCGGCTCTCGCCTCCTCTCCCTCCGGCCGCGGGTGGGGGTCTGGGGCTGGGGTGGGGATGGGGGAACGCTGCACGCTATTCACCCCTTCCTGGCTTGGGGTGGGGTTTATGTTCCAGAGACGGACGGCAAGCGGTCCCGAACCAGTTACACGCGCTACCAGACTCTGGAACTCGAGAAAGAATTCCACTTTAACCGATACCTCACTCGCCGCAGGCGCATAGAGATCGCCAACAACTTGTGTCTCAATGAGAGACAGATCAAGATCTGGTTCCAGAACCGCAGGATGAAGTGGAAGAAAGATTCCAAAATGAAAAGCAAAGAGGCTCTTTAGACGCAGCGGGGCAGGCCCGCAGAGCGCGCCCCTAGCTGGTTCCGGTCCCTGCGCCTTTCCTTTTCGCCTTTCCTCTCTCTATATTTCGGGGCGGGGGCAGGTGCTGGAGCACTGGGCTCCCGGACCTCACAGACAAAAGCGCTTTTCCTTGGCATTACGCATCCCTACTGACCCAGGGTTCCCGCGGGGCTGCCCGCGCTGCCCCAACTCCCCTCAGCTCGGCTCAACTCGGTACCCGAGGCCCAGGGCAAGCTCCGTAGGGCTTCCCCGGAGGGCTGCGGCGTACAGGCTGGCGCTGAACGAACCTTGGCCTGGGCCGTCTCTCCGACTCTCAGCCTCAGCGCGGCCCTCCCGAGTTAAGGTGGGCCCGGCCCGCGCCACAGGACCCTCGCCCAACCCTCTAGCCTCGCCCTCTCCTTTGTTCCCGGCTGGACGGGTTAGACAGCCGCAGGCTGGCGAGAGTCTGGCCCCAGACTCGGGGTGCTTCCTTGTAGCGACTGAACTAGATTTTCACTTATAAATGATTTGCATATGAAAAGAGAACTTCGGTCTAGGGCCCCCACGGTTGCTCTATGCTTTCCAAACCTTATCTCCACAACCTCTTTCCCCCAAAACCCGGGAACCTCCCCAGCCTGCGCCTGCTGCATGCCCTCTCAGGCCGGCAGCCCCAGCCTGCTAGCTAGCTCAACTATTGGGGTTTCCTGACACTGGACCCCAGCAAGTGGTCCTAGAGGCCCTTTGCTGTCGCATAGTCCCTGCCACGACTTTCTGTGCCCTCCTGACCCATTGCTGTTGTCCAACTATTTATTGACTCTGGGTCCTTCCTGAAACTATATTTTGTCATATCAAATAAAGACGAAGAGAGAACAGGACTAAAGATGCAGTGGCTCCTGTCTGTCTGGGGCATGTATTGGGTAAAATTGTCTAAATGGGCTGTGAGGTGTAGAAGGAGACCCACAAACTTTAAGCCTCCCCTTTAAAACATTTTCTAGCTTCTAGGGGCAGTGAGTAGAGGAAGGTGAAATTGAGTTCCTTTCCTGATCCTTGGCTGCAACAAGAGCCTCTGGGGGAAGAGAAGGGCACCTAGGCCTCAGGTACTGGCTTTTCCCATGCTGTGGCTGTCCAAGGCCTTCACACTTCTGCACTCCATGAGGCCTCTGGACAGGCAGCATCCCCCACTGTATGCCAAAGCTCCGGTGCAGGAACCAGTGGCTCCGCCGTGCTCAGCCTCAGGCCCTTCTGGGCTTCTGAAGATCTTTCCTGGGCCTAGGTGGTCCCTGAGAGGCCTTGCTGGACATAGAGGGAGGGCTAAGCCCTCACTCTAGAGACACATTTGGTCCCAGAAGGGCCTCTAGAGGGAGGTGGCATTGCTTGGTAAGGGGCTGTTGGGAGAGTTGGAGGAGGTGTGCTTCAGTATCTAAGATACTGGGGAAGAGGGAGCAGGGAGGGCAATCTGCAGCATGTATCAGCCTGGCAGGAAATGTTCAGACTGTTTCCACCACCTTCTAGGGCCTAGGGCTATGCAGGACAATTAACTGGGAAAGGAGCTGCATAGACCAATGCTGGAGTCACATCTGTTTGCCATCATTTATCTCAGTCTCTGGGATTTTGTGTGGAGGAGAGGATGGGTTAAAGGTGGGGGTGGGAGGAGGCAGATAATTCAGGTAGTGTCTGAGGTTCAGGTCCTTCTCCAGGTTCCTGGGATGGGCTGGGGGAGGAAGCACTTTACAGTAGAAACAAATGTGGGAAGGGTCCATAAAACTTTACTGCATTTCCTCTCCCACCTCCCACAAGGGGGTGATTTCCCCCCACACTAGGCCCCCCACACTGGTGGGGTGAGGGTCTGGAGCTGGGCTGCAGGAGCAAGCAAGAAGAAAGGGGAGCAGAGAGGCTCTGGGGAGGGGCAAGGGAATATTTATGATTATTAATGCTGATGGTCCTTGGATTTATTATAAGTACTAACGTACGCTGCATCCCACTGCCTAAGCTACCCATCAGTCATTTTTTAAAAGACCCAAGAGCCTTTCCTCACCCCATGCTTGGCACATAGGCAGTCTCAACAAATGTTTATTGAACAGTGCCCACAACTGCCACCCTTCCCCTTCGCACTGCACTCAGGCCAGGTTAGGGCGCCTGTTGTCTCTCCTCAACTTGCACACAGCAGTCAACCCAGACCAGCTCTCTCTCTCTCTCTTTCTCTCTCTCTCTCAAATAAAATGTGTAATTTTCTTCAGGGAGTTATTTTAATTTTTTCTCCATGCTGAGTAAAACTATTGGGCGAGCAGTGAAGCGTGGAGAAGCACTGGCGTCTCCGGTGGGTAGCAGTTAACTAAAAAAGAGGCTGTGGTGCCCGCGTCCGCCCGCTGCAGCCTCCCAGGCTGCCCAGGCCCTGTGCTTCCTCCCCAGGGGACAGGTGTAACAGCCCGCGGGAAAACCAAGGGCTTTGCCATGGATGGGGGCAATGTTGGTTAGAGCTGCCAGGCAGGGCACACCAGCCCCACCGTGCACTGACTGCCTCCTCCCGGCAGGGTTTGGGCCTTTCCTTCCCTGGAGGAGCTGAAGGTCTGACTCATTTTGGCCAGGCTTGGGTGGACACAGAGTGCCTGCCTGCTCTCCTCCTTCCTGTCACAATCTGCAGGTCTGCCCAGGCCCCAGCCTCGGCTTCTGCGGCGTCGGCATCAAGGGCGGCAACCAAGCCAGAGGCCTCGTACCTACTTCCCTACACTGGGGGTGTGTAAGGCCCAGATCCCTGATTTCTCCCTGAACAGGGGCTTCTGCTTTGGAACCTGCGGTAGTTTCCCCACCTGCCAGCCTCCTAGAACATATTTCCAGGTACCAGGGTCTGGCATTGCTCTGGGGGAGTTCATGGAGGGGGCTTCTGGGTTCCAAACAGAGACCATGGAGCCTGCCTATCCACTTTGCCCTGGAACCCACCCCCTCTGGCAGCAAGAAAGAAGGGGAAGAAGCATGACTTACCTTCCCGGGGGAGTGGGAAGAGGGGGGACACGGCCCACTCTGAGCAATTAGAGGAGAGAGGAGGAAAAAATAAGAGGACAAAAATATCAACACGACCTCGAAGGCGACAGGTCCTTATGGAAATAAGTAAGTAAATAAATAAATAAGGATCTACCCTCTCCCCGCTCTCCACCCTGCAAGGGGGATGTGGGGGTGGGGCAAAGGAACAGCACCAGGGCTTTTTAGTGTAACTGAGCATTAGAGAAATAGGCATGGCTTCTATGTGAATTTAGGAGTTTGAAACTTTTGGAGGTTATTTATGTGAATAGCCTGAAGGCAAGCCCGTGAGTGGCTCTTGGGGGACCACGTGATATCATTAAACCAAGTTTTATGGTGTAGGGAGAGCTGACAAACCCACAATATATTTACATCATATATAATCTTAACTGTCCAGCCACGCAGCTGCTGGTGAGGTTTAATGCTAGGACAGAGGGCCTGGCAGTTAGAGGGGATTACGGCGCTGGGGACGATGGTGAGAGAGGTTACATCTTCGCAAATGAATCCCAGGCGAACGCTGTGAGTTAATTCTCTTTTTCTCTCTCTCAGACCCTTTCTCCCATTTACCTAGCCACCCCTCTCACTTGATAGAAGGCAGTTCCCACTCATTAGGGGGAGGGGAAAAGGCCTTCTCAGGCTGGGGTGGGAGAAGAAAAGAAGCCGAAGAAGCCGCTGGAAGTAGGAAGATGGGGGAGCTTGTCTACCCAGAGAGCCCTCCCCTTCCCACTCCTTATTCTCTCTGACTGCAAGTCAACTGGGGTAGAGAGGCCTTGGTTGTTTAGAGTTTTGTCAGGTCTTCCTGACCCTTTCAGTTGAGAAGAAAGCAAGCGGCAGCAACAAGGGTGTTTGGTGTCTGTACGGGTATGTAAACTCTAGACACAAGTTCGAAATGCCTCTGGGGCCCCCTGTTCCAGCGAGGGGTGAGTTCAGCCCTTGGCCAGTGGCCCAGAGTCCACGCAGGGTAGGAAGCTGGGGAGAAAGGCAGGGAAGGAGGGTTTTGTGGCTTCTAAGCCCACAGGCTACTGCTGCCTGAACTGGCAAAAGCATCCCAAAGGTAGCTGTTTGAACCCAGAGGTCCCAGAGTGCCCCCTCCCTCCCTCATCGCCAGGTTTGGATGGGCAGCTGTCTCATCCTCTGTAGTTTGGCATCGTAGTCCGTCTGGAGCCAGTGTGGTTTCATGCTTCCTCCTCTCCCTCTAGCTGCTTGGGTCTTCCTGGCATTCCCAGCCCTTGCCTCAGATAAAACTAGGCCCTAAGAGCCCTAGAGGTTCTTGCTGTGAGTGGAGTGTAATTGTGTGTTGAATGGGTGAGGGAACAGAGGCAATGTCTTTGCTAGGCTGGGAAAGTAAGTCCCCCAACCTTAAGGACAGAGTAGCCCCTCGGGGATGGAGTTAGCAGGGCCCAATCTGAGCACTGCACCCTGGGGTCAATCCTAATGCTAGGGCGCTCTTCAGGTTTCTAGGAAGGAGCAGCAGGAGCATTGGGCATGAGAGGCACGTGTCTTCCACACCTGCAAGTGCTATCCCTCCCTGTGCATCACCGGGAGCTAAGCCAGGAAAGAGACAACATGTGAATTCAGGCTCCTGTACTGGCCAGCCATGAATAGCCAGGGCTTTGGAAGCAGGGCTGAAGGCCAGTGGACCCATAAGGGCAACTCCTCCAGGCTGGGAGAAAGGGGTGGGGAGCAGAGGGATTGAGCTAGATCTGCACCTTCCAGAAGGTGGGGCATGCCTGGGGAGCAGGGGTGTCTGGGCGCCTGCTTTGTGAAAAGGTGCTGTTGGGGGATGAGGAGGGAATGCTGTTAGCCTCGCCCCTGCTGCTCAAGAGACTGAGGAAGAACCAAGAAGCAGGCAGACTCTGGGAGAATGAAGCGGGTACAGAGGCCCAAATAAATGGATAGTCTTAGCTGAGCCCCATCCTTCAGTCTAGGGGTCTCTCACTTGCATGAGGAGCTCGGGAACCCGACATGGAGGATTCCCTTGACGCCATCCCTCAGGGCCTCAGTCTCGGCCAAGATTCAGCCTCCCCCACCCTCCTCCCTGATACCTTTATTTCCCTAGGATCACAGGGAATTCTCTCCAGCAACGCATTGGAAAAAACTAATTACCAGTTTCTCCCTTCCTCATTACCCGTCCTTCTTGGCTCACTCCTTCCCTCTAGTCTGTGATTTTGAGGGTTTCTGGAAACTTTCCTATCCAAGCAGCAGGGAGATGGGAGTTTCTCTTGGTCTGTAACTTGACTCTTTCCCTCCCTCCAGCCCCCCCAGGGCTCTAGGGAGCGAGTGCAGTGGTCTTTAACGGGGAATTTAGCCAGGGCCGAAGTCCCACATCCAGGCAAGACTCCACCCTGACACTCGCCCTGACTCCCGGCCAAATCTCAGTCCCATTCCCTTCCTCTCTGTGTAGACGGGCATTCGAGGGTGTTTAAAGATTTACACAGCGTCCCTTGAGCCCTCTGATGACTTCTTCACCCCCTTTTCTGTTCTTTAGGCTAAAAAGTTCCATTTAAATACCACCCCTCTTCCTGTGATAATTGATTCTCCTTCCCCTCAAATAGTTTGCCTCAGCTTTTTACTGTTTTGTAAAAACAGTTTCAATTTCCACCTGGAAACAAGGCAAACACAAAGGAGGCCTGAAATTCTTGGTTTTCCCACCCACTACCCCAAACCCGAATTTGGAGTCCCTCTGGATCGGAGGAAGGGCAGGCAATCAGGTGCCAAGCTTTCCAGCCAACCCGGAAAGCTTTTAATTTTGTTCCTAGGTCTTTAACCCAAGGAGAGGTCAAGCAACCAATCAGAAATGCACTAAGCAGGGTCACATGGTCCCCATCAACCAATCAGCAAAAAATACTTGGGTCCCTGTCTCGC